GTGATCTTTACTGATCTTTGATCTGCACAGGAAGTCCTAGTAATTTCCCTAGTGACTTGAGAGCTTGGAGAACAGATTTGCAATTTCTTTTAAAAAAATCCTTATTTTGTTAGAATCACAGAGTAATTTATGTTGGAAGGGATCTATGGAGGTCATCCAGTTGAATCTTCCATGCAAAGCAGGGCTAGATTAGAAGTTGTTATACTCTCCTTAATTTACTCTTAATAATACTGTCCCGTGCAATTATATTGCCTGATATGCAGGGAAGGACTTGCTTATCTCTGTTTCCAACCCTACTGTCCATCAGGCTGGTCTGAGGTGTGAGGAGTTAACTTAGCAGTGGCACTTCTGCATGCAAGCCTGCACAGCTTGCAGGCAACGTGAGAACAGATGGAGCCGTTCTAGCCTCTTGTGTCCCCCTAAATCTGTGAAAAACATAGAAAAGTCTAGTACAAAGACAACAGTGCAAAGGAAGCAACACCATTGCTGTAGGCTGTATACAGGCACATGCAGTATCAGCTATACCAATGTGCACTGCTGGTTTAACAAGTGATTCAAGGAACACGCTAACTCCCTAACTCAGTAGCCAGTGACGTCTGATGTCTAATGCTAAAGTCACCTGTGCCTTTGCAACACAGGAAGCAGCTATAGAATAGGCTTTATCCCCCAACAACCCAGATTCAGCTGTGGTTGAGCAACTTAGTCACGCACATCATAAGGACTCTCCACACATTAAGAGCAGTAAGTGTGAAGGCTTTGCTGTCGGTGCCCAGCTACTCAGATCTCCACGTCACTGTGCCCACAATAGATCACATTTTCATATCTTTGATAATACTCAAGGAGCTCTTTTCTTCACACACAGCAACCATTTTGCCTTCCAAAGTGAGCCTGTTCTCAGTCGTGGTTCAGCCTTCCTCACAGCAGGAGATGTCAAGGGAAACCCCAGGGCCCCTGCTATGAAGGTCTATAGATTTTCTTTCCCACCTGACACTAAAAATGGAGGAATGCTAACTGGAGGCTGAGGAGGCCGCTAGACGCTAGGCACAGTGCAACAATGTACCCTGCAGGTCATTGGGTATCGGTTGCGCATAGTCTTCCTCTGGGTATATGAAGAGCTGGATGTGCCATCAGCTAGTAATGCAGAGGGTCAGCTCCAAGACTTCCTTCTACTGCTGTGCAGAGCACTGCAAAGGCAACTAGACAACAGTCATACTTCCTCAACATCACCCTCAACAAGAAAGTCTTCCAAACCATTTAGACGGTTGTTAGTTTGACTCCAAGCTCATCTCTGAGAAGCAACCAATGCAGGAGCATCCCAGGAGACTCTGTGACTCAGAACCACTCTTGTAATCCAGTTTCTCTGTAATCCAGTTCCTCCAGAAAACTACCTGTTGCTACCAGCAGTAAATTATCTGTGTTGCTACACACCCTCCAGGGAACTATTCAGAGCTGTGAATGAAGGGGTGGGACCACATTTCTTTTCATCACTCCCCAACTATGCAATAAGAGCATTTGGCAAACAGGTTCACTTAGCACAACATAACCCATCCTGAATTGTTCCCTTCCTGGGACCTGATATTCCCCCAAATTAAGCAGAATTACACTTTCTAGGACCTATAGTAATAAACTCATTAAGCTAAACACTTTGGGTTTAGAGTTATTAAAGGATAAAGAATTAATGACTAAATCAAGGCAAAGTTTCTTGAGGAAAAGTAATGCCTTTTAGAAGTTCATGCCCAGGGCTATTAGCCTCACTCACGGCTGGTCAGTTCTTACCAGTCATGCAGAAGTCGCATAGTAACATCCCTGTGGGTAGGCACAATCACATTGATATCCTCTCCACACTTCATCTTTACTTCTGACCCAAAAGGTCATCAAAACATGCTTGCCAGACCGGGGGTCCAAATTCTGGAGCCCTCTGGCCATACTGAGACCACTGGCTGACAAAATCCAGAGATGTCCTTAATGTGACAATCATCACGAACAAGCCGTTTTCCTGTTCTTTAGGAGGAAACTCAGAGTTGGCAGAAGGTGAAAGAGGAGCAATACTTAGCTGCAGGATCGAGTTCTGCCTGAGACTGGATCAGACGTACAGTACATGTACAAAATCAGAGAATACATGCCTAAATGGAAACTCTGGTCTTTTTTAGGAGATAGTGAGTTATAATTAATCCTGGACCACGTTCCATGTACGAGAAGGAATAACTGTCACAGTCTCTGGCTGCATGGCTGCAGGAAGCCAGTGAGGAACTTGTGTTTGGTTTCTGCAATGAAAAGGCTGGAACTGCCCAGTTCCTCCATTCTCCTCCTCTCCTACCACACCAGCTTCATCCTTTCTTAAATAGAAAAATAAACAAAGCCAAACCTTTGTAATGGTTTACATGGCAAGGTTTTGGTAGCAGGGGCAGGTTACAGGGGTGGATTCTGTGAGAAGCTGCTAGAAGCTTCCCCTAAGTCCGACACATTCAATGCCAGCTGGATCTAAGATGGACCCACTGCTGGCCAAGGCTGAGCCCATCAGCGACGGCGGTAGCACCTCTGTGACAACGTGTTTAAGAAAGGGAAAAAGTTATTGCACAGCAGCAATTGCAGCCAGAGAAAGGAGTGAGAATATGTGAGAGAAACAACTCTGCAGACACCAAGGTCAGTGAAGAGGGGGGGAGGAGGTGCTCCAGGTGACGGAACAGCGATTCCCCTGCAGCCCGTGGTGAAGACCATGGTGAGGCAGGCTATCCCCCTGCAGCCCATGGGCGGTGAAGCAGATACCTGCCTACACCCAGTGGAGGACCTCATGTCAGAGTAGGTGGACGCCTGAAGGAAGCTGTGACCCCGTGGGAAGCCTGCACCGTAGCAGGCTCCTGTGGAGAAAGAGAAGCCCACGCTGGAGCAGGTTTGCTCCTCGTGACCCCATGGCGGGGGCCACACTGGAGCAGTCAGTTCCTGAAGGACTGCGCCCCATGAAGGAGACCCACGTTGGAGCAGCTCATGAAGAACTGTAGCCATGGGAAGGACTCATGCTGGAGAAGTCATGGAGGACTGTCTCCCACGAGAGAGACCCCACACTGCAGCAGGGGAACCCCCCCCTGAAGAGGAAGGAGCAGCAGGAACAACAGTGTGATGAACTGACTGCCACCCTCATTCCCTGTACCCCTGTGCCGCTGAGGGGGAGGAGGGAGATAAATCGGGAACAAAGCTAAGCCCGGGAAAGAAGGTAGGGGTGGGGGGAAGGTGTTTTAAGATTTGGGTTTATTTCTCATTACTCCTCTCTGAGTTGATTGGTAATAAATTACTTTTTTTCCCAAGTTGAGTCTGTTTTGCCTGTGACAGTAAATGCTGAGTGATCTCCCTGTCCTTATCTTGACCCACAAGCCTGTTATATTTTCTCTCCCCTGTCCAGCTGAGGAGGGGGAGAGTGATAGAGCGGCTTTGGTGGGCACCTGGCATCCAGACGGGGTCAACTCACCTCACTCTTTTACCCACTAGGTATTCATTTAACACTGGGCAAGGCTATACCCATTTAAACAAGTAGACCCGGGCTGGCCATTCCTTTGTTAACTACAGAAGAGGGACAGCAGAGGAGCACAGCACAGATGTTCAAGCTAGCCAGGCATAAATGTGATCAGGTGCTTGTGCAACCCATTCCTGCAGCACTAGGTCCTAGTTAACAGATTGTGCCACGAAGCCTAACTCACAGGCCAAGCCAAATAAAAAAGGCTATCCCACACAGGAAACCTGGCAGGTAGGTCTGTACCATGCCATGCGGACACAACTCGAGCCCGCACTAACTCAATTATAGCTGTGTTTTGCAGGAAAAAGATTCTTGTTATAAATAAGAATTTGGGCTATATCACACATTTCACTGCTAGCCAATGGAAATTCACTGTGGTGGGTAAAGTACCTTAGGTTTCTACATGAAGTGGATGGAGCCATGAGCACGGGAAATGGTGTCTGACTATTCAGGATTTATGGTCTGTTAGAGCTCGGCACCTAAATCAATTTACCCAATCCCAATATTATGTTTTTCCCTTTTTTTTTTTCATTATTCCTCATCTGAACCTTTCTGTTTCAATTTATGCCCATTGTTTCTTGTCCTCCCACCTATCACCACTGTGAAAAGCCTGGCTTTGACATCTTCAAGACCCTCTCACAGCTCCTGACAGGCTGCTAAGAGGTCCACCTGAAGCCACCCCTTCTCCACGCTGAACAAATCGGGTTCCCTTAGCTACTCCTCACACGGTGCTGCCTCCAACCATCTTGGGGGCCCTCAGCTGAACTTGGCTCAAATTTTTCAATGCCTTTCCTGTACTGGGAGGGCTCAAAAGGACACAGTGTCTAGATGTGGTCTAACAGCTGCTGAGCAGGAGGATAATCCCTTCCCTCAAAGCTCCTGGCTGTGCTCCCTCTAGCACAGTCAGGATGCTGTCAGCCTTCTTTGCTGCCAGGGCACACTCCTGACGCACAGGCAGCATGCTGTCTGCCAGGACTCCCCAGGGCCTTCTCAGCGAAGCCAGTCAGCTCCAGCCTGTGTCAGTGCAAGGACTTGGCATTCCCAGACGAAGGAAACTTTGCATTTGGCCTTGCTGAATTTCATAAGGCCCCTCTTGGCCCATTCCTCCAGCCTGCCTAGGTCCCTC